CGCTGCCTTTACCTGTGCAGGTCTCATTACCTGCCACCTGGGCCACTGCCCTTGGCCTCCATTCCCTCCATTTTTTCTCTGTGTTGAGCAACCAGGGGTCTTGGCACATGTACCCCCAAACCTCAGCTTAGACCCTTCAGTGTCTGCAGGATCTAAGACCCCGAGACTGACCTTCGAGACCCTCTTCTGTCTTCCCTGGCGCCTCTCCAGCCATACTCCTCCCCCTCCTCCCCACAGCCGCTTCTCCCTGAACTCGCCTGCTTTGTTCCTCATCACAGGTCTCTCACCTTCCTGCATTTACCACAATGCCTCTCCTCTGCCCGGAGGGACTTCTCCCCACCCCAGGTAATACCTACTCTTCTTCGCAGAGTCAGCTCAGATTATCACCTCCCCTAGGAAACCAGGATGAGTTAAGACCCCCTCTGAGCTCCTCTCTGTCGCAGGCACTTCCTACTGTCTCTTCAGTGTAGAGGTGAGAGCACTACAGGCAGAGACAGTCTGGGCTCCTCTGTGCTTCGTGGCCCCAGCTGGGCACAGACATGGCACACAGGGCACACAGAGACGCTCAGCAATTGTGAGTGGCTGGGTGTTTAATGATCTGCTTCCAGCCTGGGCTTTATAACTCGTCATTGTGACCTAGGGCACACTGCCGAGAGCGGGGGTCCTCACGGTGAAGGGGTGCAGTGGGCACTCAGAGTCAGTGCCCCGGAGGATGTGCTAACCCAGACAGGCTGGGCACTGGAGGAAGAAGGGAGCAGGCAGAGGGGCAGGACCACAAGAGGAATCTAAGACATGGTGTCCTGTGTGTTCTCAAGGCTGGACTGTGATGCAGAATGTGGCCCTGACTGGGGAGCCCAGCCTAGGCTGCTGGGATAGGCCAGGCTGCAGCCTCTCAGCCCATCTGTGCTGCCCAAGGTTGCCTCTGAGTTCTGAGCATGGGAAAAACAGGGTTGGGGGAAGGCTTCCTCTTCTCCGGGTCCAAGGGACAGAAAGTACTGGCCAAGGTAGAGACTGAGGGGGATAAGTCAGGGCCAAGGTCCTTCTCCATCTTCCTGATGCTCAGAGACCAGGTAGGCCGCAGGTGATGTAGGCACCTGGAGAAAGTCTATAGAGCCGATCTGTAGGGGTGGAGTCCTGGAGAAGCTATGGCCCTTCTAGCAGGGGCTATCTGGCTGAGGAGAAGACACCCACTTCATCTGGCCCTCGGCTTTCTCTGTCTGGCAAAGAGGGATGTTAAGAACAGATCTTTGTTCTGCCATGATGAAGAACAGTGGGATCCCAGAAAGGACAAGCTCTAATGGGAAGGGGGATAATCAAATTCATGCGGTAGGTGGAAGGGCTGACAGCCTATTCTCCTGGGACTCCCTCCATGCATGTATGCCCACATGCACACACACTCACATACACACTATCAGTCTTCCTGCAATTAAAAACCACTGGGTGGACCATAAAAGGACAGATCAGGTTGTGGGAATGGGAGGGGGGAGCTCTCTATAGATGGTTCAGAAGGAGTGGAGGTGGGAAGAGAGGAATAATATTGCGAGAGGGGGAGGGCTGGGTCAGTGTGCCAGAGGGGGACGCTTCTAAGGGGCCTCGCATGCCAGACTTCAGACTTCGCATCTGGTCCAAACGTCAGGAGCTCACTCTGAGCCGCAGCCATGAAGGTCTCAGCCCTGCACCAGCACACACCTAGACCAAGGTGCCCAGACCGCAGCCTCCAGCAGGGTTCCCACTTGCCTGAGACCCCTCTCCCCGCCCCCCACCTTGGGCAGGCCGCACCTGAGGAAGAAGGTGGTGAACCAGCAATGGGATCAAGCGGGCTCGTTTACCCCTGCTGTCTCGCACTGTCCGGGGCCAGGCACGGGGAGGGACAGTGAGCTGGGCTGCGCACCCACCTCTCCTGGCACTGGGTGGCCTCGGCACGTTTGGCTCCTTGAGGAGCAGACAGGGGAACCCCTTCGTCCACCTCCACCCCAAGGCAGCCTTGGCCTGCGGGACAAAGGGCAGAATGGGGCCTTAGGACATCATGTGGACATTGGTAACCACACTGGCCACCTCCTCCATCCATGTCCCTTCATTTCTGTAGACAGATTCAGTCAGAGTCAAGCCATTCTTCTTCCCTCTGGGAGAAACCCCCCACCTCCCTCAATCAACTAGGTGCAGGGAACACAGGTTTTAGAGCAGGGGCTGGGTTCTGGTGCTAGCTCCACGTTTGCCGGCAGTGACATCACAGCTCTGAGCCAGTGTGAGCCTCAGGGTGTTCTGAGGCATCGTGCCAGCCCTCAACTAGGACCAGCGTGTACACCTGCTCACCCTCAGAAGGCCCTGAGAGGAAGCATCGCTGAATTCACACCCTACCCCCCAAGATCAGACTGGGAGAGGGCCTCCCAGGGTGCAGAGGCTGCAGTGAGGGCATGGGAGCAGGACCCACAGAAACATTCCCAGCTCAGGGCTGAGAAGAGCCCATTGTTGCTGAGAGCTGGAAGGGTCCCCAGAGGAGGGGGTCAGTGTGGAGGCTTTGTGCACTTAGCCAAACTTCAGCCAGGATTTTATTTATTTTTCAATGTGTTAAATGTCTTAAACTTGTTTAAGCATGCATTCAGACAAATGCACCAAACAAAAGTGTATTTGCTGTGGTGAATTTATTACAAAGTACATAGTAAATGCTCAATGAAAGTCAAGAAGTACAGCATTTCCAGAAGCCCTGAAGCTCCCTGGTGCCTCCCAGTCACGCCCCACTTCACCAAATGGATTTCATATGTTGACCTCTAACTTTATTGCTTGAGTTTGTCTGTTTTTGAACCATATCTATGTGGACTCACAGAGCGGGTATTTTTGTTCAGCCCCTTTTGTGTGTGATGTGGAGAGACGCCTCCATGTGGTTTCATGCAGCTCACGCTGGCTCATTTTTGCTGCTCTGCAGTGCCCACTGCATCACTGTCTCACCATTCTGCTATGATGGGCATTGTGTTGTGTCCGGTTTGAGGATATTACAAATGAGACTGGTAGCAATGTTCTTACTCCTGCTTCTGGATGCATTCACACTTGTGTGTTTATTGGGTATGTACTCAGGAGTACAATTGCTAGTACAATTACATATGTTCAACTTTAATAGTATCCAGTGTCCAAGCAGTTCTCCAAAGTGATGAGGGAGGCAGCCCGGAAGAAGGGATGGTGTCTGACCTCCTCATAAAGCAGCCACTGTGCAGAAATGGGGTGGGATGAGAACGGCTTCCTCAAGGGCATACCTGCCCTGGAAGGGCCCTGCGCCCGCCGGGCACACAGCTCCCGTGCTCATCCCGTAGGAGGAATCTGGGGCTCAGATGGGAAAGGGCCCGCCTGAGCTCCCTCAGCGAATCAGTGGCCAGACGGGGCCCTGACAAGGGCCTGACCACAAAGCGCTGTGTGTGTGCGGTCTCTGGGCTGGCTCCTACTTAACAGGGCTATCTGAGGGCACCAGATGGCTGATCTGGAGGAGGCAAGACTTGGAACTCGACTGGGGCAGGTGCTGAGGAGAGGGACCCAGCACTGGCACCGATTAAAGGGAGTCCAGTCAGAAGGCTAGACAGCAGCAGATGACAAGTGGTGTCTGACGAACCCCCGCTGTCCATGAGCTCCTTCCCAGGAAGCCAGTGGCCCACCCTGCAGCAGGTTGGTGGCAGTGACTGGGAGCCGAGCCACATCCCCAGTCAGCAGGAGGCCTAGGTGGAAGCTGGGGGCGGACCTCTCCTTCCAGGGGCCTGGGGACCCTGGTAGTTTTAGGAGTCCCGCCCTCACATACGAGTCCTCCTCAGCTCCGGCACTTAGCCAACTCCCGCTGACTGCACTCTCCTCCTCCCACTCCTCCCCTAGCTGAGCACCCACCTCCTCCCCGCTGTGCGCCTTTCTGGCTTCATGTTTTGGATCCCTCTGTTATTTCTTGTGCTGTTTAGATTTAAGAAGCTCCCTTTACAAAACTTTTTTTAAATAGCAAGAGAGAATTTCTCCTTATGTAATAAATGCATGTAAACATAGCTTATTAATTCTCCCATGCATACATAAGGTCAGACATAATTTTTTCCCCAGATTGAAATCATACCAATATATACATTTTTTTAGTAACCTGTTATATCATTTCCCAACATATTGTCATGTTTCCATGTAGGGGCATCATGGCAGGATTGCACAGAACTTAAAAGCACAGCTCGAGTGCCACTAGGCGTGGGTTTCAGACCTTGGCTCTGCCATTCAGTTTTGTGACTGAGCAAGTTACTCACCTCCCGGGGCCTTGGTTTCCTTGTTGGTAAAATGAGGATGGTGATAGTACCAACCTTCATCAGCTTGCTGTGAGCACTGATAAGGGAGGCCCTCCTCCCAACCTGGAACACAGTAAAGCTCAACAAACACCAGATGTTAAGACTATTGTTACTCTTAACCTAATGACAGAGCCTGGCATCCTGGCCCCACCTCCACTCCACATCTTGGAGTTGGGCCCCAATCCTGAGTCCTGATTTGGGTCTCCCAGGCCTACTTTTTGTCCCTCCTGGTCTCTGGGTTTGCGGGGCGAGGTGTGGCGGGGGGGGGGCCTGGTGCCTGGGGTCAGTTCCCAAGTGGCATTCATTGAGGTTTCTGCGAGGTTCTCCCCTGAGTTCTCAGTGACATGAAGAAGGAGAGGAATTAGAAAGGGGGGAAAGGAGCAGGGAAAAGGCAGAGAAGGGGCCCTGGAAACCTGGCTCCAGGTCCTTTTGAGCCTCCATCGCCCATGGTCTTCCACACCCGGTGTCTGAGACCTGGGTCCCCTAGTTGGCACCACAGGAAGAAACATGACCCCTGCGAAAGAACCTGAACATGACTTCCCTCACATGGCCAGGAGGGATGCAGACCAAGCCATAACCAGCCCTCTGAGGATTTGCCAAGACTTGAGGGCATTCTGTTCTTCGGTCTTGGGGTTGGCCCACTGACTCCCAAGTGTGGGTGCAGATGTGGGCTGGAGGCTCACCTCTGAGTGCTGGGATCCACAGGAGATAAACAACTACAGGCGGGCCATACAGACAATGGCGGAGGACATCCTGTCACTGAGGAAACAGGCCAGTGTCCTGGAGGCAGAGAACCGCCTGCTGAGAAGCCACCTGACCCAGGAGGAGACAGAAGAGGAACAGAACAGTGCCGACAAGACCCAGATGCTGGGTGAGGGCATACAGGCCACTGAGGGTATCCAGGCGCCCACCTGAGCCTCGGCTCTTAATTCTGGGGCAAAGTGGCAGGAAACCTTTGCCAGGCGTGCATCTTACTGGACACAAGCTGATAGAAGCCAGCTGGGCCCTCTCCACAGTGGGAAGCAGAATCCAGTCCTGTCTCAAGCTCTAGGGCTGAGAGAGACACCTGTCCCCAACCCCAAACTGTGCTGATTTGAGCTGGAAGAGGCCTCCTGCCTGAGCCAGCTCTCTGCCTGCTCCCACCACAGAGTCCACGAAGCAGAAACTGCTGCTGAGTGAGCTGAACATGAAGAAACTGAAGGGCAAGGTGCAGCATCTACAGAACGAGCTGATTCGAGTGAGCTGGGTCTTGGGGGACAGAGGACATGGGGAGCGAGGGTAGGAGTCTGCAGAGAAGCATCTAGGAGCAGAAGAGGGAAGGGCTTAGAGGGCCAGGGGTCAGCACAATGGAGGACTCAGCAGAGGGGCCTGGGGTGAGCCCTCTAGGCCCAGGGTAACACCCAGACACCCCTCCTTCCCACTTTCCCCTCTCACCCCTCCCCTGCCACCAGAAGAATGATCGAGAGAAGGAGCTTCTTCTCTGGTACCAGGCACAGCAGCCACAGGCTCCGCTGCTGAAGCAGCACCAGGACAAGCTGCGGAAGGTGACAGCGCTGGAGGAGACCGTGCGGCACCAGGAGAAGGCAGGGCCAGGGTCAGACAGCCAGGGGCCAGCCAGGGAGGGAATGTGTGGAGGCCCCAGCCCAGCCCAGCCTCTGCCTCTGTTTCCCAGGTGATTGAGAAGATGGAGCAGGTGCTGGAGGACAAGCTTCAGGAGAGGAATGCGCTCCTGTCCAAAAGGCTGCAGGGGAAGCCCAGCACGGGTGAGTCTGCTCCCCAAAGTGTCAGCCAGTCCCTGGAGTCCTGGCCTTTCCAGAGCTTCCCAGTTCCAGGAGCACCTTCCAATCGCAGCAGATGGTGGTACTGCCCTACTCGTAGGTCCTTGCGCTCTCCTCGCCTCTCCTCCCAGGGCGCCCACAGGACACAGTGCACAAGCCAGGCTAGAAAGAGTTCTGGGGGAAGCCCGGCAGACCAGAGCAAGCAGAGAGGGGCTACCCAGAAGTTCCCCATTTCTTAACTCCAGGACCCTTCAAATTATTTCTTCATCTCCCATATTTTCAAAGAGCCTATGTCTATAAAACAAACATACTTTGGTCAAACCAGTGGTTTGTTTTCTCCATGGATGCTAACCAAAGCCACCTGGGACTGCCATTCAGCGGTACTGTAGTGAGCAGGAGAGAACCAGGTCCACCCTATCAGGCCAACCCAAGCAGAGGATTCCCTTGAGCCTGACTGTGCAGCCTCACCAGGGGCCTCTGTGCGCCCAGCCTCCACTCAGCCTCTGCTGTGTGGGTCTGGGGGTGGGGGGCGTTTCTGAAGGCCTGCCTTTCAGGAAACCTGGGGTCACCGAGGAATGGCATGAGAGAAAAGAAGGCAAACTCGGGATGGGACTCAGCCAGGACAGAGGCCCAGGGAGTAGCCATGCCAGGAGCAGAGAAGGGAAGAGAGAGAGGCGAAGAGCTGCAGTAGGCCCAGGACAAATGGCTGGGGTGGGGGGAGGTAGGGAAAATGTTGGGGTCAGATTCTACAGAGCAGAGAGTGATGGCCTGAGGAGTGTAGACCCGATCCCACCGGCAGTGGGGAGCCATGGAAGGCCTGGGAGCAAAGAAGGGGCAGAATGGAGCAGAATGCTGGAGCGGACCGGACCAGGGTCATGGAGGCAGGAGAGCCAATCTCACAAACATCTGTGGCCATTTCACATGCTCTCCGCCTGTGGACTTCCCCCGGGGCCTACAGGAGAGAGCCTGCCTGTTGATCTGTACGCAGCACTGCTGGCAGAAAACTCAAGGCTGCGGGCCGAGCTGGATAAGAGCCGCCACCAGTCAGCCCCCATCATTCTGCAGCAGCAGGCCCTGCCGGTAAGAGCCACCAGCGCAATCGTGGCCTGGGCCTGCCTGCGCCGGTCATCAGGTGCCCAGCCCTCCTTTAGCACAGTCCAAGCTGAAGACCAAGACTGGGAACTAGGCTTCCCAGGGTCTCCACTGTGCCTGGCGTCTCCTGGAGTGTCAGGCCTCAGGCCTCGCTCTTTCTTCTTGGGGAATACACATGGGTTTGAAAGCTACACCTTGACCCTTATCTAGCATCCTGAAAGAAAGGAAGCCCTTGCTGGCCCTTGACCCCTGATTCCTTTTGGCACCTGGCTGGCCTCCGCTTGGACTCCACACAGACCTCTCAGAAACTCCAGTATGAAGCATTTCCTGAGATGGGTGCAGCCTTAGAGAGCCTTTTTTCCCTTTCTCAGATGGGCCCCAGAGAGTTGGGAGCAGGAGACCTGGTAGAGAGGCTGCAAAACACAGATGGCCAGGCCACTCCAAGTACTCAAAATCCCCGGCCACACTGATGGGTTCCCCAGCCCCAGACATGCAATGGCCCCACTACGCTTCTGAGGCTGCTACAGGTGCCCTGCTTCATGCAGACCCAAAGACAGGACATTTGAATTACAGAAAAGGAGTGGCCCAGGGCATGGGAGAGTTTTTCTCTGCATCCCAGGACTCTCATGAAGTGAGTTTTGTTTGAAAGTACACCTAATACATGGATATCCAGGTAAAGTGACAGGGACAGGGGAACCCTTGCTTCACTGATTTATGCACCAATGGGTACTCCCTTGTGCATTTCACATTTAAAAATTGATGTGCAAAAACTATATAACCAAAATCTGTGGGGAAAACAGCTGTGAAAAAAAGGCACATGCCATGCCAGGTCTGACCTTCAGGAAGAGGCTTCAGCCCTGGGTCTGAGCTCTGCATCAGAAAGCTGAGTCTGGAACTCAGACCTGACTGGTTCCTTCCTGAGCATCTCTTGGCCTCCTGAGCTCACACGGCTCCAGCTTCCAGCTGGGGCCATGTGTGAGTTTCTGCTTTGCCCGCAGGATCTTCTGGCCAACACTTCAGACAAGTTTAACCTCCTGGCCAAGTTGGAACAAGCTCAGAGCCGGATCCTGTCCCTGGAAAGCCAGGTAGCTGAGGCAAAAGAGTTGGTCAGGCTGGACATCTGGTCCACTTGGTCCATGACCAGAGTCAACACTTGGTATGTGAGTAGGGTCAGGGCTCAGTGTGCTGTGGGAACCCAGGAAAGATCCATCTGTGTCTTTGTCAGACTGTCACTTGGCCCCTCTCCACTGAACCCTGCCACCCCTGAGGTCCCTCGGGCACCTCACATTGTCCAGGGTTTTGCTTTCTGCCCAAAGAGTAGGCTCAAGCTCTGTTTGTTTCAGATCTCAGAGGTGGGCCCTGTTAACTAGAGGTTCCACACCTGTCTCTCTCCATGGGGGCAGTTAGAAGACTCAGCTCGACGCTGGGGACGAGAGAAGCAGAACTTGGCCACACGGCTGCAGGAGAAAGAGCATGGCTTGGATCACCCCTCAGACTCCATCATCGCAGACCTGCCCGTGAGTGATCCCTTTGGAAGATCTCCCTGGGATTTGGGTGGCAGAGCTGGCCACTCCCACCCGAGTCACTGAGCCTTGAGAAAAACTGGCCAGGGGGCCAGCTCCCCACCTGGAATTCAGAGGACCAATATCAGCTTCTACTCTGTTACCAACAGAAGGAGTCCTTGCCTTGTCACAATTCCTAACCTGTCTAAGGGGACTAGAAAGCCCTGCCAGAACTAACTCCTCCCCCACAACAGTGGTGAGAATCAAAAAGGAGATGGTTGTGGATGAAGTGTGGCCCACATGGGCACTTCTCCAGTGCTCTGGTATTCGTTGTAGTTTAGGAATGCATTTGCTCATAAGCAAAGTAGCTGTGGCCACCACCCAAACCCACAATGACTAATATAGTCCTATGAGCACACCCATCTTGGGCAACTCCAATGCTGCACACCTACTAGGAATTGGGAATATGTTGCCAGAGAGCATTGCTAGCTTCCCCCAAAAAAATAGACCTGCTCACAACTGTGCCTCCAGCTCAGCCCGGGCCACCCAGCCCCCAATGTAGAACCCCTTACTGATCCTGCTCTTGAGCCATCAGTGCTAAGCTCACTTGTAGGCTCCTGGCCAGGCTTTAAAATACAGGGGAACTAACAGGGAACATAGGGATTCCTTTGCAAATTCACTTGCTGGGCCCTTGGAGACTCTTGGAGAAATTGGGCATGACCTGCTGTGGTTAAATGGGTTTGGAAATCTTTGAGAGGTCATGGCTCTCTAAGACATGGCTTGCTGGGCAAGTTATATTTGGATGCCCTCCCCCTACCCCTCGGGAGCAAGGGCAAACTCATCTCACCCTGCTTTGCACAACACAGAACCCCTCAACCCACGTCAAAGATGACAGGCAACCCTCAAAACTGGACCCCTTGATGCCCAACTCAGAGACTAAGTTCATCGAGCCCTCCACCTCCCAGCAGACCTGAGTTCCAGCAGACCTGCGTACTGGAGCAGTGCCTTCCCTGTGTGCTGGGTCGTCTTGTCTCTACCCCCTAAAAATGACTTCATTAAATGTTGTCAGAGAGCACTTGCCTCTTCCTGGATCTGGGTGGTCTGGGGGGCCCAGATTCCTTCTTCCAGACCCGATTCTACCCCTGGGCCCTCTGCTGCAGCACAATAGTCTCCTGCCTGTCCCAGGAGCTACCATCTCTGGAGAGTCAAAGGCCATAGTGGACCCAGGAGGGCAGGGAGAAAAGTGCTTCCAAAGTGGGAGCCTAGGAGACAAGCTTCTTCCAGACCTCCAGAAGAAGTGAAACCATCAGAGGCCAACTCTTTTGGGAGACATGAAAGAGGCTGGGACTTTCCACCTGCCCCAAACATCTACAACTAAAATCCTTTTTTCAGTTTGGTGGATCTATTTCTAGGGGCGAGAAAAACTTAAAGTCTGCCGATGGCAACCAGTTACACATTAGTGTGAAACAGCCCACTCACCACAGCCAGGCTGAGCCTGCCATACTGTAGTCAATGCAGCCAGGGAAAGGAAAGCAGATGGCACTAAAGCAAAGGGGTCCTCCGCAGAGAGAAGGCCTGGATTCTAGCTACGAGCATGCTGTGTGACCTTGGGTGACTCAAGCAACCTCTCTAGGCTTGTTTCCCATCTATCCCATGCAGAGCTTGACCTCTCTGATGGTAAGGCTCTTTCCAGCTCTAACATTTCTGAGTCGAAGATGACTCTGGCCAGGAGAAGAGAGAAAGGAAGCAGGAAGGATAGAGGAAGACAAGGAAGAGGATCGTGATGGAGAAAAGCAGAAAGACTGCAACAGTGGACTCAGAACCTGCAGGCCCTGGTAGAATTCAATCTAGTTGGGCTCCTGTCCCAAGCAGGCCCTAGCTCCCCTGTCTGTGGGCAGGGCTTAGACTCAGGTAGCTGAGGGCCAGGAAGGGTCAGGCACCTGGTTCAGGTCAGGGGTTATGGAACTCAGAAGGGAGAAGGGGGCCAGAATTGGGATGAGTGTCAGACAGTTCAAATAGTGGACCAAAGACTCTGTTGCAGTCTCCTTGCCCTCTGCCTAGAGCTTGGATAAGTGGGCATGACGTTGAGACCTTGAGGAAGCCCAGAGAAGGGTCAGGTGGGCCAGAGGAAGCATATTGGCCTTTTGTGCCCAGGGTCAGCCAGCTCATGCCAGCCCCTCACCCATAGGCCTCGGCCCTGACCATGCCCAAGACTCTGGCTAGACAGTGGCAGGAAGTCCTCATCACCCCACCTGGGACTCCTACCCAAAGTTCAGCCAAGCAGAGCACTGCATGAGCCTCACCTCTGATAGATGGGCCTTCCCCAGAAGCCAAGATTGGTCCACGCCTCTCAGCCTGCCCTGTTCTATCCGCGGAGCTCCACCAGGTCCTCTCTCTCTCTGCCTGCTGACCCCAGCACAGAGAGCAGTAGCCCCTATCTGCTCTGCCTTGCCCTCAGCTCCAGGGCAGCAGGAGGCTTGATCATACTGGTCCCTGAGCTACAGTAGCTGGGTGGATCCCAGCAGAATTGGTTTCAGGTGTGGCTGCCTCAGGTTCCCCATTTGTGCTCAGCTACAACTGTTGATCCAGGTCAGAGAGCATCTCCACAGGAGCGATGGATACCTTAGAGACCAGATAGAAATGAAAACACTTCACACAGTTCAGCCCTTTATTGCCTCCATGAGGTGGAGGAAGAGGGGAAAGAGATGGATGAAAGAGGAATGCCTCCACTGAGATGAGGCAGAAAGGAGGAGGGGTAGGGAAACAGGGGTTGAGGATGCAGACACCTCCACAGGTGGCCCCACCCCTCAGGCCTTCCTTTCACACCATTCTCTCTGATCACACCTGGGGCAGGTCCTGGGTTAAAGGCCGGAAGGTGAAGAAGATGGGTTGGTCAGGCATCAGGATGAGGTTGAATGTTGTGCCCACGTCACCGAGATGTTGGATTTCAACTCTGAAATTCTCCAGAATCTAAGAAAGAGGGGTGGTGGGCTTAGGGGACAGGTGGGGAGGATCTATCTCCCCTAGACCAGGCTCATTCACCTGTAGGCAGTGCCTGTTGAGTATGATTTAGGGAGCTCCAAGGGGCCCACTCCAACTCTACTTAACCCTGCTCAGTGCCTGAAAACACACAGGTGCTGTCTCCTTGATTCAGGCTTTCACTTTAGTTTCCACAAAACCTTATCCCACCCTTCCCTCATTTCATCACCACTATGGGCGGGGGGGAACAGATGGATGTGGGCACCAATGGGTGACAAGTGGACTAGTCCAAAAGAGGAGGCAGCAGGGAATTGTGGGGGAGGACTCTGGACAGAAACAGGAGTAGGACGGTTGGTGCTTTCTTTTTCCTATATCAATTTTTTTTTTTTTTTAGAGAGAGAGAGGCATCAATTTTGGTTGCTCCACCCATTCATCCCATTCATGCATTCATTGGTTGCTTCATGTATGTGTCCTGATCAAACCCAAAACCTTAGTGTATTGGAACTACGCTCTAACCAACTGGGCTACTCAGCCTGTACCGGTGGGTTGGTACTTTCATTAGGGCCAAAGCTAGCCCAGGGTGCCCAGAGGTCCCCAGGCTAGACTCACATGGATGAGGAAGAGGGTCATCTCGAGCTCTGCAATCCGTCGGCCCACACACTGCCGAATACCCCAGCCAAAGCCCAGGTTCCGGAAGTGGATGAGGTCCTTGTTTTGCTCCAGCCAACGGGTAGGATCAAATTTGCCCGGGTTGAGGAAGAACGTGGGATCTTGGCCCATGGCAAAGATGGCCACCTGCACCAATGTCTGAGGACAAGATGAGCAGAGGCCTCAGTAGGCCTCACCTCCTCATAGCCAGGAACATAATCCAGCCTTCCCCACTCCCACTCCCTGGCCTTGCTGCCCAGCTGTCCAGCTGACGCTGCCCACTGTGTGACCTTGAACAAAACCCTACTGCTTCCTGAGCCTCACCCATGACTGCAGCCACGAGGCCAGGGATGGCCCAAGGGATTGTCCTGCCCTTTCCTCAGCATCAGAGGGCCCCCAAGACTCAGGTAGCCCATGGGGTTGCCCTCCTAACCCTGGGCTCCAGCACCATTCCAGGGATCACCTACTCTGCCTACCACCTCTGCCCTTCACACTTTGCTGTTGCCAAGGACCCACCAGCCAGCTCCAGGAAGACAGGCAGTAGCCCCCCTCTGTATGCAGCTGCAGTTGGCCCCAACCTCCTGTCTGACCGGCAGGGCCTGCAGCCCTGCTGTACCTACCTTGGCAGGAATCATGTAATCTCGAAGAACCAAGTCATTTGCAAGATACCTCTGCAGGGTCACGGAGATAGGGTGGAGTCTGCCAGAGGAAGACATTCAGAAGCTAATGCCTGGAGGCCAGGACAAAGTCCCCCACCCAGCATGGCATCGCAGGCCCAGTGGCAGCACCCCAGGGGAATCTAGAGGCAGGGCCAGGGCCCTAGTCCTTCCTCCCCATTCCTAGCTGTCTCTCCCTGACTTCTCATTTCCTGATACCAATGTTCACCAGTCCATCCTTGTAACCCTGTCTCCAGGGACCATGCTAGCCCTGCCTAGGATTGGGGGTGGGGCAGACATGGGTGGGCATGGGCTTGCCTCAGTATCTCCTTGATGCTAGCTTTTAGAAGTGGGACCAGTTGCAGCATCCTGCTCATGTCTCCCCCAGCCTGGCGCCGGGCAGCCAAGACTTCCTCCCGCAGCATCTCCTGCACTCTCAGGCTGCGTGCCATCTCGTAGAGGTGCCACTGCAGTGTCATGGACGTCTGGCAGGGAGTGCGATGCAGAAGACCAAGAGGTCCTGTTACTTCTGAGGCTTAATTTGCAAGAGCTTCTCCCCACCCTCATCCCAGTATCCAACCATTACCTACAAAACCAAAACCCATTCTAAAGACAAATGTCCCAGAAGGGGGCAGCCCAGCAGAAATGTTTGGTGCAGCACTTATCCCTGCCCTGGCCTTTCATGTCACCAGAGGCCGCCAGCTCCCCAGCCAGCAACGGGCATGCACGCAGCCAAGGGCTTCTTCCAGAGGACCTCAGAGGCCTTAGGAGGCCCCAGAACCCTTCTGTAACAGCTGTGTGCTGACTGGCTCTCGTGCCTTTTGAAATGCCAGTTAAACAGGCAGCCCTCTCTCCAGTAGAACTTCCCCAAACCTTAACATTTGCCTATAGCAGCCAAGTGGGGAAGAAGGCTCAGATAACGAAACCAGGACCACCACCCTGGTTCCTGTCTGTTGCAATTAGCATGTGGTGTATACTGAGAAAAACCTGCTAATCTCAGTATTAGCAGGAGTCCTGAGCATTAGCCCTTCCCTGGAGGTATATGACCCTCATCAAGCCACATGGTCACACATGTTGGGAAACGCCCTGTCTGGTTTCAGGAACTGTAAACCCGCCAACAGGCGAGAGGGCCCCAAGGCTGGAAATAATCAGGGAGGCCTTGGGAAAACAGGCCCCTGAGAAGACGAAACCTGTCCCCCAGACAGGGGTACAGCCCCTGTCTCCCTCACATCACCCTGCTTGGCCCTGTGATGGTCAGTTGTTGATGACGGGTAAGTTTTTCTCATGAGGAGAAAAAAAACCTAAAACAGACATCGGCCGGTATGGGGGACAAGGGCATCGGGGACACGGAGAAAGGGCAGAAAGGCCCACACCCCTCAGCGTGGCTTAGACATGGCCGGAGTCCTCATTCTATCCAAAAGAAGTCTCCTGGTCTCTTGGTGGCTCCCTCCCCCTGCCTGGCTCAGGCTCAAAACAACACCAGAGTCAGTCCTAGACCAGATCTGGCGGTTCCCAGGGAAATCAGGCCTAAAAGTAAATTCTTTAAAGTGTGCTTTGTTTTTTCCTCCAAAGTTATGACAGCCAGCTGATGCTCGGAAGGAAATTTACAGTATTCCCAGACCCTAACCCTATATGCTTTGGCACTTTCATGTTTACTACACTCTCATGTTTACTCATCTCTCTTGTTTACT